GGTGGGGAAGGGATTTATAGGAAAAATATGTTGAGGGGGGTTGGGGGTTGGTATGGAAGAGAGAAGGATGGAAAATTATAGGAGTATGTGTGGGTGATAATATGGTATGTTTTTAGGAGGTGTGGTGGGGTGTGGATGGTGTGGGTGGTGGTGATGGTGGGTGTAAGGGATATTTATGATATTGGGAGTGTGGTTTGTAGGGTGGGATGTGGGTTTTGGTTTGGAAATTTATAGGGTGTGGGTTGTTGGTATGGGGGGTTGATTAGTGTGAGAGTTTGAGGTAATGATAGGGTTTAATATTTTTTTTAGTGTGGTTTATTATGGGGTTGTATTTATGAGGGGGTGGGGGGTTAAGGAATATGGGGTTTATGAGATTATTTTTTTTTTTGTTTGTATTTTTAAATATAGATAATTGATAAGAGATAAATTTTGATTTGTAGGGGAAATGATTATATGGGTAGTTTATATTTAAAGGGGGGGAAAGTATCTATTCTGGAGTTTTTGTTTTTTTTGTGGTGGGCTACACAACCAGTGTTGGGGGTGATTATGGGGATGGAGTAGAAAGGGTGGGGGGTGATAGATGGGAGGGGAGTTGGGTGGAGAGTGAGGGGGTGTTGGGTAGGTTTGGTGAGTTGTTGTAGGGAGGGGTATGTGTTTTGTATGGGGGAGGGGTATGGAATATGTTGAGTGTGTGGTGAGGGGGTTTGTGTGAATGTAGGGATATGTTATGGTTGAGTATGGAGGGTTGGGGATTAGGGTTTGGGGGTATTGTTGAGGTTGAGTTGAGAGTGTATGGATTGGTTGATGGGTTTGTTTATAGTCTAAGGGTTGTGTTGGTTTGATTTTTATATACAAGGAGAGCAGCATTTTGACAGATTTTGTGGGAGGTGGGGTGTGAGGAGTGGGTTGTATGTGTGTGTAAATGTTGTTAAGTTTTGTTGTGTTGGGTGGTGTTGTTTGTTGTTTGTTTTTTTAAGTATGTTGTTTTTTATTTTATTTTGAGTTGATGTTGGTTTTTTTTTTATGATAGGTTAGAGGGTTGAATGTGTTGGAGAGAGGAGGGGATTATTGGTGGGGAGAAGGGGGTTGGGTGAGGTTGGGGGTTGGTGGGGTTTAGAGGTTTGATTTTTTATTTTATGATTTTAAGGTAGTTGTTATAGAATTTTAGAAGTTGGTTGAGATTAGGATGTGGTTATAGAGCACATTGGCATGGTTTAAATAGTTGGTCAAGGATTTTGGTTAATGTATAATAATATAAATAGATATATTTATATATATATAATATATATATTTTATATATAATATAATATATATATATATAAATTGTTATGAGTAAGTGCATGTTAGTTCTAAATACAATATATGTAAGGAATAGAATGTGGGTGATTGTGATAGGGAGGGATAGATTTAGAGGTAAAGAATGGGAGGGGTTAAGAGAAGAGAAAATTAGGGGGTGTGAAGAATGGATACAAGGAGTGAAGGTAGATAGGAGGATAGAGAAGATATGAGAAAGGGTGGTGGGAAATGGAGGTTGTTGAAGAAAATGTGTTGTTTGGAAGGGATTTAGTTGGAGTTTGGATAGTATTAATGAATTTAATTATAAGAAGAGAGGTTTTTAGTAAATAAGTATATGAAAGTGTGATGGGTATGAATAGGGGGATGTAAAAGTTGGGAATTAAGTTACAGAGGGTTGTAATAAGAAAAAGGAAAGAAGGAAATGGTATTGGGGTAGATAGGGATAATAGAAATTTAATAATAATTTGTTGTTGGATGGGTGTGGTTAGTGGGGGGGGTTAAGAGATTGGTGGATGTGTGTGTTTATGTTTTTGTATAGGGGGAGTTTATGGGGTTGTGTTTTGGGTTATGGTCTTTTTATATTTATATGTGTAAGAGAAAAGGGTGAGATGGGATTGGGGGGGGGATGTAGTTTTGGGTTAAGGTTTTAATGAATTGGATTGTATTGTTTTAATATTGATGTGGAAATTGTGAGGTGGTGGGGGATGATGGGGAATGGGGGGATGTTTTTGTATTGGGAATGATGTTGTTGGGGGGATAGGGTTTTATGATGTGTTTGTTGGGAGTATTATTGTTGAAGGGTGAGTTAAAGGTATTTTATGGTAAGGTTTAAGAAGGGGTTGGTTGAAAGATGTAATTTTAATTTTAAGGTTAGATTTTGTTTGAAAATTTAGTTTGGGTAGTTTTTAATGAGAGTTAAGAATAATTTAAATTGTTTAGTTTTTGTGGGTGATAGTGGGAGTGAAATTTTTAAGTATTTTGTTATTAGTTGGATATATATAGTGTATGTGGTTGATTATTAATTAAGTAGGAGGGTTTGTGAATTTTAATGGATTGATTTTGTAGTTAGTGGTTTTTTTTAGAGTATAGGTATTAGTTAGGGGGGGGGGGGGTGTAAGAGAGAGTAATATATAGGATAGAGAGGGTAAAAAGGTGAGGTGATGGAGTTTAAGTTTGAGTTAAGGGATAATATGTAGGGATATGTTAGTTGGGATGTTTTTTTGTAAGGGGTGTGGTTGTGTGTAGGGTGGTAGAGATGAGTATAGTAGTGTTTTGAGGGGGGATAAGTAATTTATGTAAAAGGTTTTTAAGAAATTGGTTGGGGTGAAGGGGATGGGATTTTTGGTGTGATTGTGGTTTGTTTGTGGTTGGTGGGATATGGAATGGAAGGAAAAAGAGAGATTAGGTATTATTTTAGATGAGATAGTAGTTGTTTTGTGAGGTAGTGAAGTTGTTTATTGGTGTATGTGGGAATTTGGGGTTGTTGGTATGTTTAATTAGTTGTTATTAGTATTTTTTTATGGTTGATGGAGGGATGAAGAGTTTTGTGTTATGTGGAAGGGTTTTGGTTATGGAGAGGAGAGGGGGGTTGAAATGGTTTTTTTAATGGAGAGGAAAGTGATTATTTTTGTGAGTAGTAGTGAGGAGGGGGGTGGTTGGATGGGGTGGAAGGGTGGGTGGGAGGGGTGTGGTGTGTGTTGGGGGGGTTTAATTTATTGTTTTAAGGGTTAATATGTAGTAAGAGTGAAATGGGTTATTTTTATGTGTGATTTTTGGTTTGAATTAAGGAATGGAGGAGAAAGGGTGTGTTGAAGGGAAAATAGATTGAATATTATATTATAGAAGAAATTTATAGAAAATAGATGATTTGAGGTAGGAAATAGTTGTGTTGTGTGGTGGTTTTAAGGGTGGATGTTTAGAGAGTTTATTTTTTATAAGGTAGAGAAGGGAGGGTTATTATGAAATGAGAAAAGAGAGATATAGATATTAGATGGAAAAGTGATAGGTTGTTAAGGATAAAGGATTGAATTTAGGAGAGGAGTTATATATAAAAAGAAGGTGAAGGATAGAATATATGAAGATAGATGGAGGAAGTTGGTTTGTATGGAATGAAGGAGGTACATTTAGAAATTTATTATGATGTGGGAATTTTTAGAGTATTGTTGTTTGATGTGATGAGATTGTTGGATTGTTAGAAATAATATGGTAGAGATGGGGGGGTAGTGATTTAGGGAGGATTTGGAATGGTAAGAAGATTAAATTTTTAATTTTGAAGGGTAGTATATTGGATATGTGTGAAGTTTTTTTTTTGTTTTGAATAGGGTTGGTTATTGTATTGGGTAGGTGATGGGGGTTGATTGTGGGGGGGAGTAAGGATTGTTTATGGTGGGTGGATATGTTGGGTTTTAAGTTGGGTTATGGGGAGGTAGTATTTGATGTAGTTGGGGTGTTTTTTTTGTATATGGGTGTATTATTTTAGTTGGTTAGGGTTTTTGTTTGTTGTTGGTATTGGTGGGGTGGGTGTGGGGAGGTGGGTTTTTATTTGGGGGTGATAGGTAATTTGTTAATGTGTTTAAGGGTTAATTTGTGGTGTGTATGATGTGGAATGTTGTTTTTGTTAATTTGGGTTTTAATTGTTTGGGGTGGGTTTGGTGGGGGGTGAGAAAGTTGGTTGGAGATGATAGTGTTAATGGATTTGGTGGATGAGAGTATTGATTTATTATGAAATTATGGGGTTTGTTATTTATAGGGTAAAGGATGGTGGAGGGTTGTGGGGGTGGGGGGTTGTTGTGGTTTTGTTTGGTTGAATTATGGTTTTTTTGTGTTATTTTGTAATTTTTTATTAGGTTATTTTTGGTAGGTTATTTAGTTAGGTTTTTGGTGTTTGGGTATTTAGGTGGTTGGTTATGAGTTGGTTAAATTAGTGGGTATTTTTTTGTTTTTTTGTTAGGGGATATGTGGTGGTTTTATGTTGTTGTTTAATTAGTTGGTTGGTTGTGGGGTATGAGGGTAGGTTTTTGTGTTGGTGTAAGGTGTAGTAAAGTTGTAGTGTGAATTTGTGGTTTGATTTTGGTTGGGTTTTTTGTATGGTTTATGAGTTGTTGAATTTGAGTTTAATAGTTGTTATTTTTAGTTGGTTGAATTAGTTTGTTTTAATTAGTGGGAGTTGATTTGTAAATGTATAGTTTTAATGTGTAGTGAATTAGTAGTTGTAATTAGGTGGTTAATGGTATTGAGGTGTAAATTAGTAGGTTTATATTATAGTTGAATTAGGGTAGGTTAAAGTTGAATGTAATAATTTGTTAGGGGTTATTGAAGTGATGGGAGAGGAAATGGTTGTAGTGATGTTTGTGAGAAGGGGAAATGGTGTGAGATGATAATATTAATATTAATTTTGATGGATTGGGGTTTTAGATATTTATATTTATTGGGTATTATTTGGGTGTGGGTATTATATAGTTGGTATTATTAGGTTTGGGTATTATTTAGGTTGGGTTATTATATAGTTGGGTATGTATTAGGTTTGTTATGTATTAGGTTGGGTTAGTTATGGTTTGGTGGGGGGTTTTGATTGGGTGGGTATAGTTAGTTGGGTTTTTAGGTTTGGGTTTTATTTGTTTGGGGGTTTTATTTGGGGGGGATTTGTTGGTTGGGATATTTTGTTGGTTTGGTATTTAGGTTGGTTGGGTTTTAGGTTGGTAGTTATGTTTGTTGGTTGGTATGTGGTTGTTGGATTTTTGGGGTGGTATGTTTGGTTGTTTGGTTTTGGGGTGGATTAGTTTTTTTTTTGGGTTTTATTTTTTGGGTGTATGATTTAGTGGTTTTTTTTGTTGGTATATGTAGGTTGGTATTATTGGTTGGTTTATTTTGGTTGGGTATTTTTAGGTTGGGTTTATATGAGGTTGGGTATGATTTTGTTGGGTTTTATTTAGTTGGTGTTGTTGGGGTTTTATTGGTGGTTGGGTTGGGGGTTTGGGTGAGTGGTTAGTGGTATTAGTAGTGTGGGGTTTATTTTGGTGTGGGTAGTATTAGGTGTGTATATTGGGGAGTTGGATGTATTAAGGTGGGGGTATGTATTTAGTTGGGTATTATTGTGTTATTATAGGTGTGGTATGGGTATTTAGTGGGTATGTATATGAGGTTGGTTTTATTTAGGTTGGTAGGTATATAGGTTGGGTATGTAAGGTGTGGATTATTGTGAGGTTGGGTATTTTTTGTTGGGGTATTAATGTAGTTGGTATTTTTGGAGTTGGTATTATTGAGGTTTGGGTATTATTGAGGTTGGGTATTTATTGTTGGTATTATTAGTTGGGTGTTTTTAGGTGGGGTTGTTATTGGGGTATAGTTTTGTGTGGGGTATTTTGGAGGTGTTGGTTTGTGATTTTTTATGTTGGGTTTTTTGGGGGGTTGGTGGGTGGGGGTGGTGGTGGTTGGTGGTGGGAGGTGGGGTTGTAGTTTGTTGGTTTTTTTTTTGGTGGGTTTTTTGTTGGTGGTTTTATGAGGTTGGGGTATTTTTTAGTTGGGTTGTAGTTTTGGTGGTATTGTTATAGGGTGGTAATGTATTGTAGGGGATTTATTTTGGTTGGGTTTTTTTAGGTTGGTATAGTGTGTTGGTTTTGTTGGGGGTTGTGTGTGGTGTGTGTTTGGTGGGGTTGTTGGGTGGTTGGGTTTTTTGTGGGGTTTATGTGGTGGTGTTGTGTTGTGGGGGGTGGGTTGGTGTGGGGGTGTTGGGGGTGGTGGTTTGGGTTTTTTGGTTGTGGTGGGTGTTTGTGGTTTTGTGTTTGGGGGGGTTTTGGGGGGGTGTGGTGTTGGGGTGTTGTGTGGGGGTTTTTTTGTGGGGGGTTTTGTTTGGTTGGTTTTATTATATTGTGGTTTGAGTGGTGGTGGGAGTTTTTTTGGGGGGGGGTGGTGGGTGGGGGGTGGTGGTGTGGGTTTTTGTTGGTGGGTTTTGTGTGGGGGTTTGTGTTGGGGGGTTGTTGTTGTAGTTGGGGTTTGTTTAGGGTGGGGTTGTTTTTGGGTGGGGGTGTGTTTGGGGGGTGGTTGGTGGGTGGGTGGTGGTGGTGGAGTTGTGTAGTGGGTTGGTTTGTGATGTTTGGGTTTATATTTGGGTGATGGTTCTATAACATTTTGTTGGGGGGATTATTTTGTGGGTTTGTTTTTTTGGTTGGGTTATGTGTAGTGGGGGTATGTATTTGGATGGGATTATTTGGGTTGTGTTGGGGTTGTGGTGTGGGGGTTATGTTTGTTTGTTTTGTTGGTATGGGGTGGTTGTGGTGTGTGGATGGGGTGGTGGTGGTTGGGGTTTTTTAGGTGTGGTTGGTTTGTAAGTGGAATGGGGTGGTGTGGTAGGTTTTGGTGGTTAGTGGTGTAGGGGGTGTTTGGGTTAGGGGTTGGGGTGGGTGTGTGTGGTGGGTGGGGGTGGGTGGGTGGTGGGGGGGGGGTGGTGGTGGGGGGTTTTGGTTGTGTGGTTGGTGTGGGTTTTGTGGGTGTGTTGTTGTGGGGGGTGTGTGGGGGGGGTTTGTGTTGGTTGTGGGGGGTTTTTTAGGTGGTGTGTGGGTGGTGTGGTTTGGGTTGGGTGGGGTGTTTTTGGTGTTGTTTGTGGTTTGTGTTGGTGTTTTTGAATGGTGTTTTGTGGTTGTTTTTGGTTTGGTGGGTTTGTTTTTTTTTGGGTTTTTATTTGTTGGTTATTGTTGTTTTGTGTTGTTGGTTTTTGTTTTGTGTGGGTTGAGGGTGTTTTTTTTGGTTGGGAGGAGGTGTTGTTGTGTTTGTTATTGTGATGGTGATAAGAGTAATGGTGGGGGGAGAAAAATAGGGTGTTAGATGTGAGAGGTGTTTTTTTGGTGATATATTTAAAAGTAGTTGGGAGGTTAAGGTGGAGTTGAGTTTTTTATTGGTTAGATGGGGTGTTGTTTTGTAATTTGGTCTCTAGTGGGTGTGGGGGGGTTGGGGATTGGGGTGTTGTTGTGGGGGTGTGGTGGGGTGTGTTTGGTAGTGGGATTTGGTGGTTTGTTGGGGATGTTGGGTGGTTTTTATGTGGGTGTTTTGGTGTGGTTAATTTTTGGTTTTATGGTAGTTATTTTGGATATTATGATGGTTATAGGGGTTGGGGAGTATGGGTGTTTTTTTTGGGGGAGTATGGTGATAGTTGGGTGATAGGGGTTATTGGTATTATATGGTGGAGATATTTATAGGTGGAATAATGAGATATAGGTGATATATGGTAATATATGGGTGGATATATATGTGGATATTTTGTGGATATAGAAGAGATTTATGTTTATTTGAGATTGGGTATTATGAGGTATGATAATGATGTAAAAGGTATTAGAGTTTAGAGAAGAAGATATTGGGGGTTTGTGAGGGAAGGGATTTAATGTGTTTATAATTTTTAATGTTTTAATGTGTGAATGGTTTTAATTTGTAATTTTAATTTTAATTGTTATATTTTAATTGTTAATTGTAATAATTGTTAATTTATAATAATTTTTAATTTTTAATTGTAATTGTTAATTTTTTTAATTTTTATTTTTTTTTTAATTTTTATTTTTTTATTTTTGTTAATGTGTTTTAATTTTTTTAATTTTGTTAGTTTGTTGTTTAATGTTAATTTTTATTTTTTTAATTGTTTAAATGTTTGTAATTTTTTTAATGGTTGTTATTTTTATTGTTTTAATTTTGTGTAATGGTTTGTAATTTTTTTATTTTATTTTTAATTTTAATTTGTTAATTTGGTGTTAATATTTGTAATTTGGTTTAATGGTTAATTATGTTTTAATTTGTGTTTGGGATTTTGTAATTGTTTATGTGGTTTTTGTGGGGTAATTGGTGGAGGGGGGTGAGTAAAGGTGGAGTGTGTGTGTTTGATGGAGGGTGGGTGTGTTTGTTTGGAAGGTGGTTGTTGTGGTTTTGGTAGTGGTTGTGTGTGTGTTGAGTGTTTAGTTGTGTTGGAAGGAGGGTGGGAGTGTGTTGTTTGGAGGAGGGTTGGGTGTGTTGTGGATGTGGTTTAGGGGTGTGTGTGGTAAGTGAGTGGTGGTTGTTTTTTTGGATGTGGGGTTGATGTGGTTGGAAGAGGGTGTGGGTTGTGTTGTTGAATGTGGGGTTGGGGTTTGTGTTTGGAAGGAGGGTTTGGGAGTGTTTTGAAGGAGGGGGTGGTGTGTTTTTTTTGGAAAGGGGAGGGTTTATGTGTTGTTTGGAAGGAGGTTTGAGTGTGTGTTTGGTTGGTAGGGGTTTGTGTGTGTTGTTGAAGAGGTTTTATGTGTTGTTTGGAAGGAGGGTTTTTGGGGAGTGTGTTTTTGGTAGGTGGTTGAGTGTGTTGATTTGGAAGAGGTTTTGGAGGGTTGTTTGGAAGGGAGGGGGTTTGGAGTGTGTTTTTTTGGAAGAGGGTTTTTGGAAGGAAAGGATAGGGATTGGGATGGTTATTTGGTTTTGTAAGGTTAATGTGTGTTTTAGTGGTGGAAAGGTATTATGGGAAGTGTATTAAAATGAATAATAATTTTAGATTAGATGATTAAGGATGGATAATATTAGGGTGTAGTGAGTAATATAATAGGTAATGGATGGAGGGTGAGGGTGAAGTTTATTTATTAGTTTGAAGGGATTGTTTTGTGGTAGTGGGTAGGTAGTTGTTTGTAAATGGTGTGGGTGGTATGGTATGTTGGTTGGTGTATGGTGTTATTGTTTTTGTTATTATTGGTTTTATGTTGAGGGTTGATGTGGGTTTGTGGTTGTGGATAAGATGGAGATTGTGGGTGGTTATGTGTTTGTGGGTATGTTTGGGTTATTATTTTATATTTTATTTGGATATATTTAGAGGGTAGATAATGTATAAGTAATATGTTGTAAAAGTTTAAAGTTGTGGTGTTTGGATTAATGTTGATAATAGTTGATTAAATTAATGTTTGTTAGTTAGTGGGGTTATGGTTGTTTTAGTATGTTTTGATTAATTGGGTATATGTTTAATTAGTTTTGTGTGTATGTGGGTTATATGTTTTTTAGTTGTTTGTGTATGTATTGGTGTATATGGTTTAATTAGTATGGTTTTGTGTGTATTGGATTTGGTTTTTATATGTTTTTTGGTGTAGTGGGGTATAATGGGTTGTTAATGTAGTATGGTTTGTGATGTAAGTGGGTATATGTTTATTTATATGGTTTTGTGATGTTAATTGGGTATATGTGTATTTATATTTTGTATTAATTGGGTAGATTTTAAGTTAGTGTTTGTTATTTAATTGGGGTATGTTTATTGTGTATTTTTGTGGTTATTTGGGTATATGTTGTTTTTTGGATGTGTTTTTTTGGTATGATGGTTTATTAGTGGTTTTTGTTTATTTGTATTTGGTTTTAATTAGTTTGTTTTTGATTTAATTGGGTATTATGGTTGTATTTAGTATGTTTTTGTTATGTAATTGGGTATATGGGTTTATTGGTATTTTTGTGTGTAATTGGGGTATATGGTTTAATTAGTATGTTTGTAATGTTAATTGGGTATTATGTTTAATTATATGGGGTTTGTATGTAATTGGGGATTGGGTTAATTTATATGGGGTTTTGTGATTAATTGGGTATATGGTTTAATTAGTATGGTTTTTGATGTATGGGTATATGGTTTAATTATTTTGGTGGAGGGTGTTGATTGTATGGTTGGGAAGGTGTGGGAGTGGTTAAGTTTGGAATGGGGGATTTTTTGAGTATGTTGTGGGGGGAGGTTTTGTGTTGGATGTGTTGTTGAAGTTGGAGGTTGAATGATGGAAAAGTGAATATAGTTGAAGAAGAGGTAGTTGAGGGTGAGTGGGATTTTGGATATAGTTGTAGTGGTAAGAAGAGGAATGAGGATTGTGAATGAATGTGAGTAATTGGGTGGGAATTTAGTGGTGGGGGGGTTATATAATTGAAAATATGGGGTAGGGGAAGAGGGGATGTGGGGAAGAATAAGAAAATGTTGAGTAGAGGAAGGGAGATGGGAATGAAATATTGGTAGTTTAATGATGTAGAATGATTATTGGAGTATGAAAGGTTAGTATTGTTTGTGGGAGGATGGGGTTTTATTGATAGGTTGTTTGTGGTGTTTGGTGGGGTGTGGGTTGGGTTATTGTGGGTATTTTTTTTTTGTAGTTGATGTGAGTTTGTTTTTTTGTGGTGTATGGTTTATATAGATTATTAGTTTATTTTGATGGTGAGTGGATTAGGTTGGGTTAGAAATTGATAATAGGAATATATGAAGGTAGGGGGGGAAGATTTTTATGTTTTTTTTTTTTGTTTGAGGAGAGTTGGTTGTGGTTGGGTTAGTTTTGTTGTGGTTTGGTGTTTAGTTTTTTTAAGGTTATTTGTTGAATATTAGAGGATAAGGGTAATATAGAAAGATTGATTTTTGGTAGATATGGAAGTATAGGGGAGTTTGAAGGTTGTATTAAAAAGGGTGATTGATGGGGGAGGTTTTATAGTTTTGGGGTATTAAAAAGAGTTAGAAAAGTGATGAAGGAGAATAGGGGATGATTAATAGAATGGGATTTGGGGTGATGGGGATTATGGGGTGGGGTAGAAATGATTGTTGGTTGTATTGATGTTGGTGGGGGAGAAGTAGTTGATAAGAGAGAAAAAGGAATTTAGGAGTGGGGAGGTTTGTTTTATTATGTGGATTTGTTATTGAGAATATGAGGGTAGGTGTATATGTATTATTTAATATGATTGTTATATTTAATAAGGGTAGGGAATTATTTTTGTTTGGGGTTTGAATGAGTTATGTGTTTAGTAGATTGTTAAGTTTTGGTTAGGTGGATTTAGGGTGTTTGGTTTGGTTGTGATAGTATTATGTGTGTATGAAGATAGTATAAGTAGTGTATGTGAGGGTTAGTTGGTGGTGTGATTTTATTTAAGTTGGTTATTGGGGGTTTTATTTTATTTGTGTTTGGTGTTGGTGGGTGTGGGATTTGTTTGAGAGGAGATGAGGTGAGAGATTGTGAGAGTAGTGTGATGAGAGATGAGAAAGTAAAAGAGAGTATGTGAGAGTGAGATGATGTAGAAGAAGAGTTGTGGGTGAGAGAGTAGAGGAATGTGATAGAGAGAGTGAAGATGTAGAGAGAAAGGAAGAGAAGAGATGTGAAGATGAGATAAAGAGAGTTAGAGAGAGAGTGTATGTTGATTGTGAAATGTGAAGTTGGGGGATGAGATTAGATGGGAGAGAGTGTGTGAGATATGTAAGTTTGTTGTTGTGAGTTTTTTTTGGAGTGTTGTGATGTTTAGTTGTTGTGTGTGTGTGGAGTAGAGAGTGATATGATTAGAGAGAGAGTGGAAGAGTGATGTAGTATGAGTGTGTGGAAGTAAGAGGTGTTAGTATATGAAGATGTGTGTGTTTTAGAGTGAGTGAGTGGAGTTGAGAGATGTAATTGTGTGTTGTTGAATCAGATAGTGTGTGTTTGATTGGGTTTTGTGTGTGTGTTGTGTGTGTTTGAGTTTTGTTGTTGTTGTTGTGGTGAGATATGTGTTGTTAGTTGTTGTAGTGAGAGAGATAGAGAGTGTGATTTGGAAGAGTATAGTGAAGAAGAGTAAGTATGTTGTGTTAGTAGATAGTAGTAGATGTGAAGTAGATGAGAAGTGAGAGGTTGAAGTGTATGAGAGGTGTGAGTAATTGAGAAGTTGAGATGAGAAAGAGAAAAGAAGTGATTTGTTGTTATATTGAGTGAGAAGTAGTTTGTAGAGAAGAGAATTTAAGTGAGATAGAGAAGAATTGGAGAGAGATGAGAAGAGAGAGAGAGAGAAGAAGAGGGAAGAAAGAAGAGATAGAGTAGAGTGTAGATAGAATGAGTGATTGAGTGAGATAGAGAAGGTAGAGAGAAGTGAAGATGAGAAGTGTAGAAGATGTGGAGAGAGAGAGTAGAGAGAGAAGAGATGAGAGATTTGTTTGTAGTTGTGTGTAGTGTGTAGTGTAGGAATGGTTAGTTGAGTTAGATAATAATAGTTTTTGAATGGGGGAAGAGAGTGAAGTGGGTGTGGGTTGTGGAAGATGGAGTTTGTAATTATATTTAGTAGTAGGAGGTTGGTGAAAAGTGGGTGAAAGATTTTGTTTAATTATAGATTAATGTTTGGTATGAAGGAGATATTGGGAGGGGGGGAGGAAGAGGAGAATTAAATGGAGTTAAAAAAGTTGTGATTGATAATGATTTAGAAAAAGAAGTAAATATAGGTGTTGGATGTATAGAATTTATGGTGTGATGTGGGTTGGGTGGGGTGAATTTATATGAGTAAGTGGTAATTTGTATTTTATGGGTGATGTGATTTGGGGGGGTGGGAGGGAAAAGATAGGTTTTGAGAGGTAGGGAGAGAAGATATTATTATTAGGTTTTTTGTTGTTAAGTTTTTATTGGAAGTGGATTGGTTTTTTGGTGTTTGATTAGTTTGAGGGAAAGGTTGAGGGATTTGGGAGGGTTGTTTAAAGTATGGATTTTGGTAAGATGGGATGGGTTGTTGTTGATGTGTGGGGTGGTGGGTTGGAATAAGGGGTTTTGTTTATGATAATTTTATTTAATCTTTTAAGAGTGGATAGATAGTAAATAGGCAGGGGGTGGGGAGGGTATGAGTTGATTATATTTTAAATGTTTATTTAGTAGTGGGGTTAGGTGGGAATATTTTGTTGTGGGTAGATTGTTTTATGATGTTTGGTTTGTTTTATTGTGGGGATTTGTGGTTTTTGTGGGATGTTGTGGGTGTTGGTTGGGGGGTGTGTGGTGGTTGTTGGGTTGTTTTGTGGTTTTTTGGTTGTTTTGTGTTTTAGGTTTTTATTGTGTTTGTTGGTTTGTGTTAGTGTTTTGGTGTGGGTTGTTGGGGTGGTGGGTTTTTTTTGGGTTGTTGGTTTTTTGTTTTTTTTTTTTGGGGGGTGGGTGGGGTGTTGTTGGTTGGGTTGGGTGGGGTGTTTGTTATGTTTTTTTTTTTTTTGTTTTTTTGTTTGATGGTTTTGGTTTTTTGTGGTTTATGGTTTTATTTGTTTTTTGGTTTGTTTTTGTGTTGTTTTTTGGGGGGTGGGGGGTTGTTTTTGTTTTATTGGGGTTTTTGTTTTGTTGTGTGGGTTGGTTTTTGTTTTTTTTTAGGTTGTGTTGTGTTGGTTTGTGGTGTTGGTGGTGGTGGTTGTGGGTGTTGGGGTTTGGTTGGGTGGTGGTATGTTGTGGTGTTTGTTTTGATTTTTGTGTTTTGTTTTTTGTTGTTGTTGGTTGGTGGGGGGGTTGGTGTTTTGGGGTGGTGGGGTTGGGGGTGTGTTGGTGGGTTTTTTTTGTTTGGTTGTTTTTTTTGGTGGTTTGAGTGTGTTTTGGATGTGTGGTTTTGTGTTGTTTGTTTTTTTTTTGTGTTTTTTTTGTTGTATTTGTTTTTTTATGGTTTTTTTTGTGTTGTATTTTATTGGGGGATTGTTGGGTGGTGGTGTTGTAGGTGGGGGGTTGTAGGTGGGGTTTTGTTGGAGGGGTGTGTTGGGGTTGTGTGGTTAGGGTTTGTGTTTTGGGTATGGTGGTGGTGGGTTGGGTTATGTGTGTTTGTTGGTGTGTGGTATGGTGGTGGGTTTGTGGGTGTGATGGGATGTGGGGGGGGATTAGGAGTTGATTATAGATAGGGGGGAAAGGATTATGGATAGTGGGGTTTGAATATGTTTGTATATTAATTAATTAAGATTGTTATTTTTATAATTAATGATAAATTTTAGATTTGGTAGTTTGGGTTGTTGTGGGGTGTGGTGTTATTGTTATTTTAGTGGGTTTTTTATTATTTATATGTGTGAATGGAAGATTGGTGTTTGTATGAGTGTGTTGTGTTGTTTAATTGGTAGGGTTAGTTTGTGTTGAGTGTTGAGGGTGTGTGGAGTTTGTGATGGTTGAGGGTAGGTTTTGGGGGATTTAATTGGGGGATTGAGAGGGGTTTGGGGGTTGGGATGTTAAAGGGATTTATTAGGGGGGGTTTGGTTTAGATGAGGATGATGGATTTAATGGTAGGGGAAAGGGGGGAGTGATTATTTATATTGAGTTAAGGGGTAAGGTTGAATATGGGTTATAGATGAGGGGTGGGGGGGGGAAGGAGATTAATGATAGTGTGTTTTGGTGAGGTGTGGGTTGAAATAATTTTGGATGGTGAGGATGGGGGTTTGTTAGGGATGTTGTGTGATTGGAGGGTGGGGTGGTTTTGGGATTGTTGTTGTTATATATGGGTTGTGGGGATGGGGATTATTAGATTATTGAGAGTTTAGGGTGGGTAAGTAGTATTTGATTTATTTGTTTATATATTATATATAGTGTGTATGGTAGATAAGATTTTTTTTATTGATTTTAATTAAGGTTGTTTTTTTGTTGTATGTTGGGGTTATTTAATGTTGGATTAATTGTTGAGTTGTGTGGGTTATGTTTTTTTTATGATTAGGGTTATGGGTTAATGATTATATTATATATGTGGTTGTGTATGAGGTAGTGGTATGGTTAGTGATGTGTTTGTTGTTTTATATTTTTGAGGTAGGGTAAGGGGAGAATTTTTGAGATTGGGGAAGTATAATAGAGGTTAATTTGGTGAGATAGTAGAATTAATTTTGTTATGAGAAGTAGGAGGGAGAATGGTTTAGAAATGTGATGGAAGTATGTAAGGAGTATGGGTTTAGAGGATGGTGATGGAATGTATTTAAGGAGTAATTGTTTAGAGAATTGATTGGGAAGTAGGTAGAAGGAGTAAGGGTTTAGAGGGGAATGTTGGAGAGTTTGAAGTGGAATGTTAGAGATTGGTTGTGTTTGGTAGAAGGTAATGGGGTTAAGGAAGTTTGAAGTATGGGTAGAGAGGTTATGGTTTAGAGGTATGGTGATAGTGGAAGTAGGGATGTGGTTTGTTTAAGAATGTTGATGGAATGGTATGTAGAGTGGTAATTTTAGAGAAGGATGGGATGTTTGTAGAGGAGTATTGGTTTAGAGGAAGTGTTGATGGAAGTATGTTGAGGAGGTATTGGTTTAGAGGTATGGTAGGAAGTATGGTAGTGGTGTAATGGGTTTAAGGAATGTGATGGGAATATGGTAGGGATGTATGGGTTTAAGGTAGGTTGGGAAGTATTAAGTAATGGGTTAAGGAATGTGGAATATGGGTGAGGGTTATGGTTTAAGGGGAATTTGATGGAAGTAGTGGTAGAGGAGGTGTAATGGTTTAGTGGAATTATGGGATGTTTATGTAAGGAGGTAGTATGGTTTAGAAATTATGGAAGAATGGTTTAGGAGGTAATGGGTAGAGGAATTTGATGGGAAGTATGGGAGAGAGGTATGGTTAGTGGATGGTGTTGGTAGTTGGGTAAGGATGGTTTTGGTTTAAGGAATGGATGGAGATGATGTAGTAGTGAAGTTGTTGGGTGAGTGGAATTGAATTATTTGATGGTATAGGGGTGTGGAGTTGTTTTGGGGTTTGGGATGGGGGGGATGTGGTTGTGTTTTTTTGTGGTGGGTTTGTTGTGGTGGTTTTTAGGTTAATTGGTTGGGGTGGTTAGGATTAATTTGGGATAGGATAATTAGTTGGAGATTTTTGGGAGTTTGAGTAGTGAGTTTAGTAGTGTGAGTTTGGTAGTTATAGATAAAAGTGGATGTAGTGTTGTTAGTTTGTTGTGTGGGATTGTGTGTGGTGGTTTTAGTATTTAGTTTTGTTTGTAGTATATTAGTTTGGTTTGTTGTGGTGGGTTTAATGTTGGTTTTGTTGGAAGTTGTAAGTTGGTGGGTGAGATATGTTATAAGTTATAGAAGGATTATTTATTGGTAGGTGTTAGATGATTTTTTGTTTGGATTGATGTAAGTGATTATTTTTTTATGATTTTTAATGTTTTTTTTGGGTGAGTTAATTTTTTGGGTTGGGTTTTGTTTTTTTTTTTTTGGGATTGGGGGTTGTTGGTTGTTTATTTTTGGGTGAGTGGGTATAGGGATTTATGAATTGGATATGGTAGTTTTTTGTTTTTAGTTGTTGTTGTTTATGTGTGAGTTTTGATGGTGTGTGTTGTTGTGTTTGTTGTGTGTTGGTTGGGGTAGTTTGTTATTGGATTTTTTGGTTGGTGGGATTTGGTTAGTTTTTTTTGGGTTTGGTTGTATTTTGTGAGTGGTGGGGTTTATGGTTTTTTTATGTTATTGGGTAGTGGTTTTATGGTTAATTTTTTGATTGGTGAGTGTTTATGGGTTTGTTTTTGTGTATGTTGTGGGTTATGGTGTTGTTAGTTTGGGTGGTGTTTTTTTTTGTATTGTGTTGGGTGAGTGTGTATATGATATATTTATTATTTGGGTAGTGTTTTTTTTGGTTAATAAGGATTTGGGTGTGGGTAGAAGGGATATTTTATATGTTGGGTGGTGTAGGTTGTTTGGATGGGAGGTTTATGGTGTAGGGTATTTTTGGAGGGGTAGTTTGTGTGTTTTTAGGGTTGGGGGTGTAGGTGTGATTTTGGGTGTGGGTGTTTTTATGGTGGATGTTTGGGGTTGGGTTTGTGAGTATTGATGGGGTTGTGATGTGTGGTTTGGTGATGGTTTTTGTTTTTGTTGTTTGTGTTGGTTTTGTTTGTGGTGGGGTTTTTTTTGTTGTGTGTGTTTTTGTTTGTGTTTTTGTTTTGTTTTGTGTGTTTTTGTTTTTAGTGTGTTTTTGTGTTGTGTGTTGTTTGTGTGTTGGTTTGTGTTTGTTGTTGTTGTTGTGTGTTTTGTGTGTTTGTTGTTGTTGTTTGTGTTGTGTTTTTGGTTGTTTTCTTGTGTGTTTGTGTTGAGTGTGTTGTGTTTGTGTATTTTTTTTTGTTTGTTTTTGTTTTGAAATGGGAGTAAAGAGAATGTTATATGTGTGAGTTAGTTGATTGTTGTTTTTAATGTGAGTAGAGTGGAGTGAGTGAGAGGGTGATGTATGTGGGGTTTTTTTTTAGTGTAATATGGGGAATTTTTATGGAGATTGGTTGGATATTTTGTGTGTGGTTTTTGATTTTGTTTTGTGTGGGAGGTTGATGTTAGGGGGGTAGGTGTATTGGGGAGATATTTGGGTAAGAATAGATGATTTTGGTATGATAATATGGTAGGATAATTGGATATGATTAGAAATGAGTTTGATTTTAGGGTATGATTATAGGGTATGATAATTGGGTATGATAATAGGGTAGGATAATTGGTATGTTTGTTGTAGATAATGGATATGATTATTAGGGTATGATTATAGGGTTATATATAGGGGGTAGATAATTGGATGATAATGGGGTAGGATAAATAGGGTATGTTAATAGGATATGATTAAGAGGGTATGATATTAGGGTATGATAAGAGGATATGATAATAGATATGATTATGAGGATATGATAATGGTGTGATGTTTGGGGGAGGATGTTGATGTGGTAATGGAGTATTTATGTAAGGAAGATTAGTTGGAGAGGAAAGGGTGGGGGGTGGATATTTTTTGTATGTTGGTATGTGGGAAAGAAAAAATTATAGGGATGTTATGGTTATGTTTATTATGTGGGTTTTGGGGTTATGGTGTGGGTTTGGTTTGTGTTTGTTGTGTGTAATTTATTATTTGTTGTGTGTTGGGGTGAGGTTGTGGGTGGTTTTTGTTTTGGATGGGGATTGGTGTAGAGTGTGTGGGTTATGGGGGTGATTTATGGGTAGATATATAGATAGGGAATGATTATTGGTTGTGGAGAAGGTGATAATGGAAATTTTTGGAGAAAATTGATTTGTGTGGGTTTATTGTTGGATATATTAATTGAAAGAGAATGGGTATTTTTGGATGGTATGTGATGGTGAGTGTGGTGTGTTTGTTGTTGAGGGGTGGTGTTGGTTGTGTTATTATTGGGGTATTGGTTGTGGGGTGTTTGGGTTTGGATGGTTGGTAGTTATGTGTTTGTTTTTGTTGTATTTATATATTTTTGTTGTTGTAAGTGTAATTTTTTAATTTTGGTTGTTTTTGAGAGTTAGAGTATGTTTTTTTGTATTAGGTGTGGGTTAGTGTTTTATTTAGGATGGTATTTTAAGTAGGGATGTTTTGGTGTGTTTGATGTGGGGATGGAGTGTTTATTGGGTTGTTTGTTGTTTTGTTTAGTTTTTTGAAAGTTTAGAGTTAGAGAGTTTAAGTAAGAGGGAGGTTTAGAGTTAAGAGGGAGGTTTTAGAGTTAAGAGGAGGGTTTAGGTTTAATGGAGGTTTAGTTTAAAGGGAGGTGAGAGTTAAAAAGGTTTAGAATTTAATGGAAGGTTTAGATTTAAAGAGGGTTTAGGTTTAGAGATGTGTAGTGTTTTGGGTGTAGAGTTTTGAGTGTTTTTGGTAGTGTGTATTGAAGAGGTTTAGAGTTATAGGAGTGTATAGTTAAGGGAGGTGTAGAGTTGAAGGAGGGTTTAGAGTTATGAGGAGGTTAGAGTTGTAGAGGAGGTTTAGATTATGGAGGGTTTAGATTAAGGAGGTTTAGATGTTAAGTGTTAGTTGGAAGTGTTTAGTGTATATGAGTTTAGTTTGATGTAGGTTGAAGTTGATAGAGGAGTTTAGATTGAGAGAGTTTTTTTTTGAGGTTGTTGTGTTAAGGAGGTTTAGAGTTTAGGAGTAATGTTAAAGTGGTTTAGTATTTAAGGAGGGTTAGAGTTAGAGTAGTTAGAGTTGGTAAGAGGAAGGTGTTTGTGTTATGTGAGGTATTATGTGTAGGTTGTATGTTTTGTGTTTTGTGTTGTTGGGTGTGTTGTGTTAGTAGAGGGGGAGAGTTGTTGTGTTTTGTGTGGTTTGTGTGGTTGGGTTTTGGGTGTTTGTTTTTGGGGTGTGGTTATTAAGTGTTTTGTTGTTTTGGAGGTTTGAGTTGTGGTTTGTTAGTAGTGTTTATGTGTTGTTTATGGAGGTTTAGTTTTATTGTTTTTTTTTTTTGTGGTGGTGTAGAGTTATAGGAGGTTGTGAGTGAAGGAGTTTGTGTTGAGAGGAGTTAGAGTTAAGAGGTTTGAGTTTGATGGAGGGTAGATGTTTAGTGTGGTGTTGAGTTTTGTGTTTGTTTGTATAGTGTTTGTGTGGAGTGGATGTTTTGTGTTTTGGTGGTTTGGTTGTGTTTAGTTTTATAGAGTGTAGAGTGAAGGTGGTGTAGATGTAGATGGTATATGGTTTAGGTAGGTGTATTTTGAGGTTTTTAGTTGAGAGGTGGTTTAAGTTGATGAGATGTTAGTTGTAGGAGTAGATTGGAGAGAGGTTTAGAGTTAAGAGGAGTTTAGATTTGGGTGTTTAGTTTTAGTAGGGGTGTTGGTAAATGGATGTTTTGTTGATGGTGGGTGTGTGGTGTTGTGTTGGGTGTGAGTGTAGAGTTTGTAAGAGAGGGTTTTGTGTTGAAGAGGAGGTTTAGATGGAATGGTGTTTTGGTGTTGTGAGGTGGTTTATGAGTTAAGGGGGTTTATAGTTAGAGGAGGTTTAGAGTTGGAGAGGAGGGTTTAGAGAGTTAAGAGGTTTAGAGTTGGAGAGGTAGGTTTTAGAGTTAAGAGGGTGTTTAAGTTTATATGAGAGGTTTTAGTTAAGAGGTTTTAGAGTTGAAGTGTGTTGTGTTAATTGAGGTTTATGTGGATGAGGAGTTTAGTTGTTTAGAGGTGATATTTTGTTAGGAGGTTTTGATGTGAGGTGGTTTTGAGATGGTAGGTTTTAGAGTGAGAGAGTTTAGAGTTAGGGGAGGTGTGTTTTGTGGTGTGTTTGTTGTATGAGTGTAAGTAGGTGGTTAGTGGTTGAAGGTTTATAGGTGAGAGGAGGTTTAGAGTTAAGGGTGGTTTAAGTTGTAGTGGTGTTTTGTGTTAATGGTTTTGTGGGTTTGGTTTGTGTTAAATTGGGTGTTTAGAGTTTGGAGGGTTTAGATTAAGGAGGTTTAGAGTTTGGAGAGTGGTTTTTGTGATGTGGTGTTGTTGGTAGGGAGGTTAGTGTGATGTGTTTAGTTTTGTTAGTTTGTGTTATGGGAGGTTTAGATTGAAGAAAGGTTTAGGGTTTAGAGAGGTTTAGAGTTAAGGGTAGTAGAGTGGAGAGGAGGTTTTAGTTAAGAGGTTTTAGTTTTTGGATTTTAGTTGTAGTGAGGTTTAGGTAAGGAGGTTGAAGTTGAAGAGTTTTAATTAAGAGAAGGGTTAGGGTAAGGAGGTGAAGGGTTGGTGGTTTGAGTTTAGGAGGAGGTTTAGAGGAGGGGGGAGTGATATGGGGGTTGTGGGAATGGATGGGGGGTTTAGTAGAAGTTAGAGGTTTTGAGTATGGATAGATATGATTTGATATAAGATTTTTTTGGGGGTGGGTGGTGTATTAGTAGTTGGTAATGAAGTAGTTTTTGATGAAGGAGTTAAGATGTTGGAGTATGATATGAAGGATATAAGAGGTTGAGTATAAGAGAAAGTGAGATAATGAAGGTGGTATATAGGATAGGGTGTTATAAGATAAGTGAGTATTAGTTAAGGTGTAGGGATGAATGAGATATTAGATGATAAGATATATATGGATAGTATATGTTGTAGTGTGTGTTGAAGATAAGGATATAAGATAAGTGAGATATAGATGAAATGTGGTGAAGTTGAAAGAGTTTTAAGAGGTTGAGTATTAGTTTAATGAGTTTTTTTGAATGAGATAAGAGAAGGAAGTATAGATGAATGAGGATTAGATGAAGATTAAATGGAAGGGAGTATAAGATGGAAGGATATGAGATAAAGTTTTTGGAAGAGGAAGGAGTAGAAATGGAAGTTTGGTAGTTAAGGATATAAGTTAGGAGTATAAGTTGGTTGGAGTATTGATGTAGGATTAAAGAGGAAGTTTTATGAGGGAGATGTATAAGAGAAGGATTGGAGAGATGGGAATATATGGGGGGATATGTTGGTATTGTGTTTGTGGTTGTTGTGTTTTTGATTGATATTTGTATGATTAATATAGATTTTGGGGGGGTGGGTTGGTTTGGGTGGTTGGGTGGGGTGGTTTTTGAGGTTGGATTGTTTTTGGGGTGTTTGGTTTTTTGTTTGGGTGTTTGGGTGGGTTTGTTGGGGTGGGTGTTGGGGTTGGTGGGTGTGTATATGGGGTAATGGGTTTTTGTAAAGTGTGATTATTGGGGGTTTATGTATTTTTGGGGAGAAGTATGAGTTTTTTAGTTTTTTGTGTTTTTGTTGGGTGGATAGTGTGGTATTGGTTTGGTTGGTAGTGTTGGGATAAGTGTGGTAAAATGGGAGTGAGAGGGTAGGAGTAATGTTTGTGTGGGGTTTTTTTTGTTTATAGTGGGGGTTTATTTGGTTTGTTGGTTTTGTGGTTGGGGAGTATTAATTTTGATATATGGTTGTTTTTTTTTATTTTGATGTTTTATAGTGATTAGTGTTGATTGGGAGTGGATTTTTTTGATTGGTGGGAATGGGTGGAATGTAATGAAGTTAGTTTAGTGGGTGTATTATATGAGGGGGGGAGGTTGATGTATGGAAGTATGTGGTGGTGTTGTATATATATATATATATATATTGATGGGTGATGTAATTGGTTGATGATTGAGTTTAGTAAAGAAGATGTATGGATGTGTAGGGGTTTGGTATGTGGGGGTATGGGATTTTTTTTTTTTAGTGATTGTGTTTTTTGGTAGGGGTGGGGGTTTATGTTATTTAGGGGGATATTATGGTTGTGGTTGGTGTGGTGTTTTTTAGTTGATAGTTTGGGTATATTTAGATTGGGATGGAGGTTATTTATATTAATAAGTATGGAGGTGGATTATGGTTGTTTTGGGGTTTTGTTGGTGTAGTTTAGTTTGGGAGATTATTGTATGTTTGTTTTGGTTGTGGTGTTATTTTGGTTGGGTTGTTGTTTTGTTGGGTTATATGGATGATGTGTTGGGGGGGGGTGGTTGTGTTTGTTTGTGTTGGGGGGTGTGGTTGGGATTATATTGATGTTGTTTTTTTTTGTATTTTGGTTTATTAATTTTAGGGTTTTGTTGATTTTTTGTTGTTTGTGGTGAGGGGTTTTATGTTGGGGTTTATGTGGGTTTTTGTTGTTTGGGTAGGTTTATGGGATTTTTGGTATGTGGGGTGAGTGGTTGTTGGTATTGTGGGTGATGGATGAATGGTGATGTGGTTGGGTGTTGGGGGGGGGGTGATATGTTGTGTTTTTGGGGGGGGTGGGGGGTTGTGGTGTTTGTGGTGGTTGATGGGGTGTTTGGTTTGTGTGGGTTTGGGTTGGGGTTTGGGGTGGGGGTGTTTTGGTTTGGGTGGGGGGTGTGTTTGTGTGGGGGGGGGTGTGTGGGTGGAATTTTTATTTGGGTGATATTGGTTGTTTTTTTGGTGTTGGGGTGGTGTGTGTGGTGGGTGTTAGTAGGTTTGATTGGGTTGGTTTGGTTAGGGGGGTGTTGTTTTTGTTGTTTGATTTTTTTGGTGTGTTGTGTGTATTGGGGTAAGTTGGCTTGGGGTTGTGTTGGTTTGTTTTTGTGGGTAGGGGGGGGTGTGGTGGGGTTTGGGGTTATTGTTGTGGTTGGTTTTTTAAGGTGGTATTTGTATGAGGTGGGTTGGGAGGGTGTTTTTGGTGGGGATATGTTTTGGGGTTGGTTTTTGTGTGTTTGGTGTGTGGTATGGTTGTTTGTGTTTGTTATTGGGTAGTGTTATAGTTGAGGTAATAGTATGATGTTAAGGTGGAGGTGAAGATTGTGGATGGAGATAAAGTGTTGATATTAGTGGGATTTTTTTGGTTGGAGTGGGTTAATGGTTGTTTTGGGGTGTTGGGGTTGGTGTTTGTGTTGGGGTGTAGGTTTTTTTTGGGTTGGTGTATTTGTGGGGGTGGTTGTGTTTTTTGTGGGGTGAGGTTGGGGTTTGTTGGGGTGTGGTGGGTGGTTGGGGTATGTGTTTGGGTGGTTGTTGGGTTGTGTTTTGTTGGTGTTTGGGGGTGGTGGTGGGTGTTGGGTGTGGGTGTTTGGTTGTGGGTTGGTGGGGTGTGTGGGGGGTGTTGTTGGTGTTTGGTGGGTGGTTTGTGTGGGTTGGTGGGGGGGTGGGGGGGTTTTTTTTTTGTGTTTGTGGTGGGTTGGGTTTTGTGTTTTGGGGTTGTGGTTGGTGGTGTGTTTGTGTTGTTGGTTTTTTGTTTTGTTTTTTGGTGGTTTTTTTTAGTTGTAGTTTTTATATTGGATGAATGTGTGATTTTTTTTTTGTTTTTTTTTGTGTGTGTGTTGGGTGGTGGGGGGGGTGTGTGTTGTTGGTGGGGTGGTGTTGTTGTGTTTTTGTTTGGGGAGTTTGGGGTTGTTATGTTTGTTGTTTTTGTGTGAATAGTATAGTGTGGTAAATTTTTTATTTGGTGTATGTTTGTGGTTTTGGGATAGAATAGTATATTGGGTTGGTTGGTGGGGGGGGGGGGGGGGGGGTGGGGGGGGGGGGGGGGGGGGGTTTGTTGGGTGAGGTGGTGTGTTGGGTGGTATTTAGTTGTTTTATATATTTGGGTGGGGTGGGGTGGTTTTGTTGGGGGGGGGTGGTGGTTGATTGGGGGTTAGGTGGTTTGTTTGTGTTTGGGTTTTTGGGATGTTTGGGTGAGTGGTTTTTTTTTTTTTGGTGGTGTAGTTTTATGTAGATTTTTGGGGGGGTTTGTGGGGGGGGGGGGGGGTATGGTTGGGTGGGTGGGGAGTGGGGGTTGGTGAGTTGTGTGTGGTGGATGTGGTAGTGTATGAGTGTTTGTATTTGTGGTTGTATATGGGTTGGTTTGGTGTTGTGGGTGAGGGGTTTTGTGTGTTTTGGAGGGGATTGGATGGTTTTTGGGTGTTTTGTGGTGTTTAGGGGTTGTTTTTAGTTTGGTTTTTATTTGTGTGGTTGGTTAATGTTTGTGTTGATGTGTTTATTGGGTTTGGGTATATGGTGTGTTTGGTGGGTGTTGTTGAGAAGTTTATTTTATGTTGGTGTAGTTTAGGGTAGTTTGGGTGATTTTTTGATTGGATGGTTGATTATGTGGGTGTGTTTTTATTTGTTTATTTAAGTTATGTTTGTGGTTTTATGGGGTGTTGGGTGGTGTGTGGTGGGGGTTTGGGGTGTGGTGGTGTTTGGGTGGTGTTTGGTGGTTGTGGTGGTGGTGGTTTTGTTGTGTGGTGGTGTTGGGTGGTTTTGGGGGTTGGTTATGTGGGTTGGGGGGGGGTGGTGTGGGGGGGGGTGTATTATTGGTTTGTGTGGTTTTGATTGGTAGTGGGGTTGTTGGTGGGGTGTTGTGTGGTGGGGGGGGTGTGTGGGATTTTTGGGTTTGTATTTTTTGGGGATGGGTGGTGTGTGGTGGTGGTGGGTTTGGTGTTTGGGATGGTGGGTTTATGATGGGTAGAAGTTATGGTTTATCGTTGGTATTTTATTTGATAGTGTATTGATATAGTAGGTTATTTATTTTTTTTTTTTTTATGTGTTTTTATTTTGATTGGGGGTGGGTATTTTTTTGGGTGTTGGGTTGGGTGTTTTGGGGTTTTTTGAATTTGGGGGGTGTGTGGAGTGTGTAAGAAAATGGGGTATGTTGAGTAATATGAATTTTTGTTTTGGTGTTTTGAGTTTTTAAGGTTATGGATATATTTATGATTAAGTTAGTGTTAAGGGTAATGATAGGAGATATGGTTTTATGTTTGTTAGAGATGATGATATTATTGTATGTAAAGTAGTATTAATTTTGAATATATAAAAAGAAGTTGGAAAGTTTAATGAAAGAGAAGATGTGAATTTTATAAAGGAAAATTGATATATTAATAAGGGAAAGATTGAAATATTGGAATGAAAGGGTAAATTGAAATATTAATGAAAGGAGAAATTGAAATATTAATGAAGGAAAGATTTAAATATTATGAAAGAGAAGTGTAAATGTAATGAAAGAGAATATTGAAAATAATGGAATGGAGAAGATTGGAAATATTAATGAAAATGAGATTGAAATATATAAGAAAGAGATGTTGTAATTTAGGGTGAATAATGGGTTGGTAAAATAAGATGGAAGGTGGGATAAGGGTGGGATAAGGTAGGTTAAGAGGAAAGAGAAAGTGATAATAGGTTTGGAGAGTTTGGAGGGGGTAGATGTAGAGGGTAATTAGAAATTGGGTTGATGAGAGTGTAATGGATGGGGTGGGGGGATAGAAAGAATTGGAAAGAGGTTGGAGGGGTTTAGAGGGAGATAGATTGTTTAAGTTTAATTAGAGGGGGGAGGGATGAGATGAAGTATTTTAGATGGATGGAGTGATTTTTTTATTTTTGAATGGGGGAGATAGGTGTGGGTATATGATTGAGGAAGTTGAAAGTATATATAGTTGTTTATTTTTGAGTTGATTGATGAGTGAGTAAGTTAAGGGGAGGGAGAAGAGAAAGATGAATTAGTAAAATAAAGTTGGGAAAAAAAATAAAGGATAATAAAGAATAATAAAGATAAATAAGGAGAATAAGAGGGGAAAATTAAAAGATTTGGGTAGGAAATTTTTAAATAGTATTAATAATATTTATGGTGTAATGAGGAAAAAAGGATTATTTAAGAAAAGAATTTATTGAATTATTAAAAAATGATAATATAGAGTAGTTGGGGAATAGAGTAATTGTTTTGAAATTTGGTGAGTATATATTAGATATGGTTTTAGATTATTGTGATTAGAATTTTTAGTTTGATTGGAAATTGTGTTTGAAAGATTATGAAAATGTGTGGAGTAGTTTGTTATGATTATGGTGAGAGTGGGATATTATGTTTGTAAAGATTTAGAGGTGGAGGTTATGGGGGAGGGGGGGGGGTGTGTGTTGGGGGTTGTTGTGAGTTAGGTTGTTGGTTGTAGGGTTTTTTTGTTGGTGGTTTTGTGTTGTATATGTTAGTAATTATGTTTAAATTATTGGTTGTTGTAGTGGTGTTGTTTGTTGGTGTGATTGTTGGTGGTGTGATTGGGATGGATTTTTGTGTGGGATTGTGTGGGTAGTTATAGTTGAATTAGGGGGGTGTATTTTGGTTTTTTTAGTATATAATAGGGGTGTGAGTTTGGGGGGATTTTGGTGGTTTTTTGGGTGTATTGTGGTTGGGGTTTATGAGTTGATTGGAGTTGGTGGTGTTTGGGGATGAGTTGGGGGGTGTATTTGTTGTTGATTTTTGTTTGTGGTTTGTTTGTGGTGTTTGTTTGGTTATTATGGTGTTGGGGGGGGGTGGAGTTGTGTGAGTAGTATTTGTATGTAGGTGGGGGTTTGAATTGTTTGGGGTTTTTGGTGTTTTTTAGGTGTGTTTAGTATGGTTAAATTTAGTGGAGGTTAATGTAGATAGGGATTTGTGGGTTAAAGTATAGGGGGATGTATAGGTTGAATTAGTAGTGTAAATAATAGGTGTAATTATAGGTTTAAGTGGAGTTATATGGTTAATTAGAAGTGTGAATTAGTTGGGTTGAGAATTAGATAGTTAATTAATAGGGGGGATGTGGTAGGTGAAGTATTAGGTTAAATTAGATAGGTTTAATTATGTATTTTGGTGTAATTATGTAGGTATTTTGATGGGTTGGTGAAGTGGGGAGTGTAGAAATAGTTGTTGTGTTAGTTTTGATATTTTTGTGTGGGGTTAATTAATAATGTTTTTTGAGGGAGTGGAGGGGTATGTTAATTTTGTGGGTATTGTGGGATTTTGGTAGTGTAAGTATGTTGCGTGGATTAAAGATAATGATGAGTAGTTGTGTTAGTTTATTTGGGAAGTATGATATATATATAATATAAGAAATATTTATTGGGATGTATGTGGGTTTTGGGGGGGTGTGGTTTGATTTATATTTTAGTGAGTTGGGAGTATTATGATGTTTGATTTTAATTTTTTTTGGATGGGGTAATGTTATTGAGTGTTGTTGTTGTTGTTGTTGTTGTTTGTGGGTGGGTGTTGTTGTTTGTTTGTTGGTGGTGGTGGTTGTTGGTTTGTGTTGTTGTTTGGTTGTGGTTTTGTTTGTTTTGGTTTGTTGTGGTTGTTGTTGTTTGTTTTTGTGTGTTGTTGTGTTGTGTGTTTTGTGTTGTTGGTGTGGTTTTGTTTGGGTTGTTGTTTTGTTGTTTGTTGTGTTTGTGTTTGTGTTGTTTTTTGTTTTTTGTGTTGTTGTGTTTTGTGTTGTTGGTGTTGTTGTTGTGTTTTTTGTTTTTTTTTGTTTGTGGTTGTTGTTGTGTGGGTTGTTGTTTGTTTGGATAGGTATTTTTTGGGTTGTTTTGTGATGGATGGTGTATGGGGTTGTTGGGGTGGGTGTTAAGGGTTGTAATTTGATAATTGTTAGGTTATTTGGTTTTTTGTGTAGTGTTTGTGTTGTTGTTTTTTATGAAAAGATAAATATTTTTATGATTGTTATTTTGTTTAGGGGGTTTTGTTTAGATTGGGATTATATGTGGGAATTGGTATGTTTTTTTGTGTGTGTTTTGGGTATGTTTTTGGGTTTGTGTGGGGGTTGGGGTGGGGGTTTTAATAGTGAGAGATATTGGAGATGGAATAGTAAGTGATGTTTGTTTGGGTTTTGTGTGTTTTTGGAGTATTGGGGGGTGGGTTGGATGTTTTTGTGGTAGTATGTATGGGGGGTGTGGTTGTTGGTTGTTTATTGATTGGATAATGTTTAGAAAAGAGAAATTGTTTTATAAGTGGTGATGAGTTTGTTTGATTATATTTGGGTGGTTTTATTGTGTGTGTGGTTGTTTTTTAATTTTGTTTTGGGGTTTTTTATTGGGTTATTGGAGGGTGTTTGTGTTTGTGGGTTTGGGGTTGTTAAGTGGTTTAGATGGGGGATGGATTGGTGTTGGGGAGTTTGGTGGGTTTTTGGGGGTGTGAGGGGTGTTTGATTTGGTTTGTTGGTTTTTGTTGGTTTTTTGTTGTTGAGTTGTTGGTTATGTTTGTTTAAGTGGGATGTTAGGGTTTAGGTTTTTTATTTGGTTAGTTTAGTTGGGTGTGTTTGTGGGATTTGTTTTGTGTTTTGGTGTTTGTGTTGTGGTTTTGTTGTGAGATGTTTGGGGGGGGGGGGGGGGTTTGTGTGGGGTGGTTTGTTGTGATAGGGGAGGGGTGGTGGTAGTGGGTGAGGAGGGGGGGGATTTTGGGGTGTGGGTTGGGAGTTTTTGAAGTGTTTGTTAGGGTTGTAGTGGTGTTTGTGAAGGGGGTTGGGGTTTGGGGGATATGATGGTTAGAATGATGAGTATGAGTGAGTGTGTAGTAGGGATGAGTAGTAGTGAGTGAGTGTTGAGTGAGTGAGTGAGAGAGTTTATGAGTATGATAGTGATGAGTGAGGTGAGTAGTGAGGAGTGAGTAGTGAGTTAGTGATGTGTAGAGAGTGATTTGTGTGTGTGGTATTGTGTGAAGGATAGGTGTAGGGAGTTGAGTGATGTAGAGAGTGAGAGAGTGAGTGAGAGGAGTGAGATGATATGAGTGAGTTGTAGAGTGATGAGTGAGGAAGTGAGAGTAGGTGAGTTTGTGGTTTAGGTGGGATAAGGTTTATGTGAGTGTAGGTTGAGGTGGTGGGTTGGTGTAGTGATGATTGTAGATTGTGTGTGGTGTGATGTTGTTTAGGGAGTGGGTAGTGAGGGGTTTTTTTGATGTTTAGGGTGTTTTTTTTTGAATTTTGGTTTTGTAGGATTGGGGAGGGGGTATTATAGGGGTTTTGATGTAGATTGTGTGAAAGGTGTGGATTTAGTATGTTATGAGGATTTATGGGGTGTGGTTTTTAGAGTTGTTTTGGTGGGGGTATTTTTTTATTGAATAGAGTTAGAGAGAATATGAGGGATTGAATAGAAGATGAGTATAGATAGTAAATAGTAGTTAATAGGTATAGGTGGATTGTGTATTATTGGGGGTGGAATTAGGGAGTGTAGTGTTTTTTTATGTTAATTTAATGAGGGATGTTGAGTTTGTGAATGAGTGGGGTGTTGTTAGTTTATGATTATTGTTAGTGGTGATGGTTTATGGGTTTGGGGTGAGTTTGGGGTGGTGGTGTATATATGAAAGATGGATAATTGAATGTATTATGAAATAAGTTTAGTAGAAGGTGAAGTATTTTATGTAAGTGTGTATTAAGATAAGTGAGTATAAGTATGTGATATTTAGATGAAGTAGTATAGATGAAGGTGTTTTAAGGGGTTATGGTATATTAATGTGTGTATATTTGTATAGTTTTATTATTAAGATGAGGAGTTTTTAGATGAAGTTGTTTGATAAGGTGAAGTGATATAAATGTGTGTGTTTTTGGATGGGAATTTTTTTATGATGATTGATTTAGATGAGGTTATTTTTAAGGGTAGTGGGTATAAGGTTGTTGTTGTGAGTGTTTGAGGATTGTGTTAAGTGATTTTTTTTTTTAAGATAAGGTGTATATGATGAAGGTGGTTTTGGGTAGTGTAAGTGATAGGTTTATAAGATGAGGGAGTAGATTATAGGTGGATATAAGGTGATATTGATATGTATTTGATGAATGTGAGTAGATGATGAGTTTATTTTTTATTTTGGTTTTTTTTGTTGGGTGTATTGTGGTATGTTTTTTTAGGTGGTTTGTGGTTGATGGGGTAGGTTTTTTTTGAAGTGAATTTATGATGATATGGAGTTTAAGGTTGTGTGTTTTTTAATGAATGGGTTTTTATGTTGTGTTTTTAGATGTTGGATGTTATTATGATGAAAATGGTGTTAAGAGGAGGGATTGGAAATGAATGATTTTTAGTTGGAGGAGTGAGGTGGTGGGTTGGGTTGTGTGAGTGTAGTAGTGAGGGGGTATATTGGAGAGGGGATGATTTGTGGGGGGTGGGGAATGGTTTTTTTTTTTATTTTTGAAAGAAGATTAAGGAATTTTAGGTGTTATGGGGGTTTGTTTTGGTGGTGTTGGATGGTATATTATTGTGTGAAATGTGTAATTGTGTAAAGAAATTGTGAGGTGAAAGGAAGGAATAAAAGTAGATAGTGGGGGGGGTTTAGGAAGTAAAAGATGAAGAAATTAAAATGATAGAAGGAATTAGGATGAAGAGGATAAATTATTATAAGAATAGATAAAAAGATATGGAGAAAGAAAATGAATGAAGTTTTTGGATTGGTTATTTAGAGAAGATGAATGAAGATAGTAAAGGGGGGGGGGGAATTTTAAGAGATTGTAAAAGTTTGTTTGAGTGATAAGTGGGTGGGGGTAATATTTTAAGAAATATTAGGGTTTAGTGTTTTTTTTGTGTTGTGTGAATAAGGTGAAGATTATGGGGAGGAGTGAGAGTTAGAGAGGATATGGATAGTGGGGTATGATTTTATTTGTGAATTATTTAGAGGGGGTGTGTTGGTTTTTAGTAGTTGAGGAGATTGAGGGGATAGTAAATTTTTATGTGGGGTGAAGGATAAAAGTGTATTGTATATTTTTTTGTGATTAGATAAATGGGAATGTTTTGTATAATTTGTTAATGTTTGGTAAGAGAATAGGGTTATGGATGTATTAATATGGTATTATATTGGGTATAAGGAAGGTTGATGGTAGTTATTGTTTGGTGGTTGGTTTGTTTGTTATTGGTGTAGTTTGTGTTTAGTGTTTATGGTAGGTAAGTTTATATTAAAGGAGGATTGAATATATATTAGAAAAGAGTAAGTGTATTATTAAAGAAGAGTTAGGTGTATATTAGGAAGATGAAGATAAGGTGTAATTAGGAAGAAGAGGTAAGTGTGATATTAGGAGAAGAGTAGAGGTTATATTAGGAAGAAGAGTAGAGTTATATGTAGAAGATGATAAGTTATATTATAAGAAGTAGTAGAGTTATATTAAAGAAGAAGTAGAGTTATATAAATTAAAGATGAAGTATGGGTTAATGAGAAGAAGAGTAGAGTTATATTAGTAAAGGAGTAAATGGATATAAAGAATAAGGAGTAGATGTTATATGGTAAGAAGATGAAGGTAAGGGTTAATGTAGAAGCAGAGTAGAGTGTATATTAGAAGAAAGAGTAGAGTTATATTAGGGGGGAAAAGATAATTATTATTTATGGGTAGTGGGATGTGGATGATATTTTTAATGTGTAATAAAATGTTTTGTGAAGGTAAGAAAGTTTGAGATTTAGTGAAGGTTTGATTTGGAAAAAAATATGTAGGGGGTTGGGGGTAGTGAGTATGGAAGAAGATGATGGAAAATATGAGGATAGTGTGGTGATAATAGGGTTATGTTTTAGAGGGGTGGTGTGGTGGTGGTGATGGGGTGGTGGGGTGTGGATGGTTGTGGTAAGATAGTTTTGATATTTGAGTGTGTTTTAGGGTGATGTGGGTTTTGTGTTGTAAAGGTTATAGTTGGGGGTTGTTGGTATGGGGGGTGTGTTAGTTGAGAGGTTTAGTAAGATAGGGTTTATTTTTTTGGGTTAGTGGGTTGTTGTTGTTATGGTTTGGATAGGTTTGGGTTAGAGGATATGGGTTGATAGATTATTTTTTGTTTTTGTATTAATGAATGATTATTATTTGTAATAAATTTTTTGGTGAAGGGATTTGTGTAGGTTGGTAGTATATAAAGGGGGGAAATATTTATATGATTGTGTTTTTTTTTTGTAAAAATAGGTGTTGTGAGTAGGGTGATGGAGAGGATAGGGTGGGGGGGTGATGGGATGGAGGGAGTTAGGGTGGTGATGGAGGGGGTTGATTTGGGTTGTTGGGGTAGGTAGGGTTATGTTTTTGATTGGAGGTATGTTGTGGGTTGTTGTGTGAGGGGTTTTGTATGTGTAGTTTGTTGTGGTTGAGTGGGAGGGTGGGATTAGGGGTGGTATGTTTTGGTTGGAGTTGAGAGGTGGTGAGGGTTTGGTGTTGTTTTTAATTAGTTGTTGTGTGGTTTGTATGTTTTTAGGGGGGGTTTAGTTGAGTTTTATAGGTTAGTATGGGAGTGGTAGTAAAAGAAGAAAGTAGATATGGTTTTTTGTGTTGGGGGTTGGTTGTTTGTTGTTTGTTTTGTTTAGTAGGTATGTTTATTTTGATGGTTTTGTGGTTTTTGGGTTTTTTTTATTAGAGTGGGTTAATTTGTTAAGATGTGGGGGGATGTATGTGGGGGAAAGGGGGTGGGTGTAGGTGGTGGGGGTATGGTTGGATTTGAGTTTGTTTTTAATTTAGAATATGTTGAGTTGTGGGATAGATTTTAAGATGTGGTGAGAGGTGGAGTGGGTGTTTAGTGAATGTGGGTTGGAATGTTTTGTGATTGTTATATATATAATATATATATATAGATTTATATTAGATATATAGATATATATATTTATTATATTATATTTTTAGTGTGATTGGATTTGAGTTATTTGTTATAAAATTGAGATATGTATGGATGAGTATTGGGGAGTGTGGTGAAGGGGAGGGAATTGATTGAATTTTGTTTGGTGGTGTATTTAGAGTTGTTTTAGGGGGTGTAGTATGGGTTATAGGAGGGAGGGTTTTGGTGGATTATGGGGTTGATAGTTAATGGTTGATATGAGGGGTGTTAAAGGTAATTGTGTTGGTTGAGGAGGAGGATTTAGTTGAAGTTGTTATTTTAAATGAATTAATGATAAAAGTGAGGTGGTTTGGATAGAATAATAGTAATGAAGTTATGGGGATGGAGAATAGAAGTAAAAAAGTTGGGAATTTAATGTTTAAGAGGTTTTGTTAATTAGAGATATGAAGAGAGTATGAATGTAAGGTATTGGTTAATATTAGGGGATAGAGAAATTAATAATTGTTGTTTGGGGGGTGGGGGTGGGGTTGTGGTTGGGGAGATTTGTGGGTGGTATGGGTGAGTTGTTTTATTTTTGTATAGGGGAGTTTTGGGTGTGTGTTTAGGGTTGTTATGTTTGTTATATTTTTATGTTAAGGATAAGGGGGATGGGATGGGGGGGGGATTATTTTGGGGTAAGTTGTAAAGGATTATTGTTTAATATGATGTGTATATTGGGAGGTGGGGGGGATGGATGTGAAGGGTGGGGATTTTTTTGGTAGTGGATGATTGGTGTGGGGGGGGGAATTGGGTGTTTTTTTGATTTTTTTGGAGTGGTATTATAGTATGAGAGTTAGTAATGATTTTGAAGGTTATAGATGGGGGGTGGTATATGATTAATTTAAATGGTATAATTAGGGGGATGTAGATTGGAATAATGGAGTTTGGGTAGTTTAGAGGAGAGTTAGTATGGAATTTTTGTTAAATTGTGTTTAGTTTGGGGTTGGGTTGAAATTTGGTTTTTGTATTTATTATGATGTTTGTTTTTTGTAGGGTGTGTAAATTTAAGGAGGGTGGTTTGTTATTTTTAATGGTTGTTTTGTTGGAGTGTAGGGTTTGTTTAGATTGATGATAGGTTTGTTTTGGGTGGGGTGTTTTGGTAGTGTGATTATTTGGGATAAGTGGTGAGTATGGTTGATTGTGGGTGTTTTGGGGTGTTTTTTTTTATTTGGATTGGGTGTAGTGGTGTTTGGGTTAGGTTGGTGTTTTTTAGTTTGGAGTGGATGTATAGGGTAGTGTTGTGAGGGGGTTATGTAATATTTTGTTGATTGGTGGGTTGTTGGGGGGGTGGTTGGGTGGGTGTGGGGGTGGGGTTGGGGGGGGTGTGGTTGTTTTTTTTTGAGTTTTGTTTTTGGGTGTGAGTGATTGTGGAGGGTTGTTTGTTGTGGTGTTTTTGGGGTTTGGGTTTGGGGGGGTGGGTTTGTGTTGGTGTTTGTTGGTTGTTGTTGGTGTGTGGTGTGGTGTTGGTGGGTGGGTGGTGTTGTGGGGTTTGGTGTTGTGGGGGGTTTGGGGTTGTGTTGTGTGTTGTGGGTTGTGTTGTGTTGGTGGGGGTTGTGGTTAGGGTGGGTTGTGGGGGGTGGGGGGGGGTTGGTGGTGGGGGTTGTTATGGTGGGTTTGGGTTTTGGGAGTTTGTGGATTTGGGTTTATTGGTTTGGTGTGTATTGTTGTGGGTATGTTTGGTATGGTTTTGGTTGAATGGATTTATGGTTTTTATATGTATAGAAAGAAAATTTATAGAAGATTAGATAGTTTGTGTAGTAAATATGGGTGTGTTTTAAGGGTGATGTTTAGATAGTATATTTTTATAAGGGAGGTGAGGTGGGTTATTATAAATGAATAAGAGTTGATGAAGTTTGATGTGTTAAGTGATAGGGGTAGAGTTATAATATTTTTTATATGTGTTATAATATAATAAGGTGATAGGATAGAATATATGTGAGGGATAGAGTGGTAAAGTTGGTTTTATGGTAGAGGGGTATTTATGTATTTTATTAGTGGAGGTGGGGAATTTGTAGAGATTGGTTTTGATGTTAAGGAGAATTGGTTATTTGTAGATATTATAGATGATGGTTATAATGGTTGGGAAGTTGATGTAGTGAGAGTTGATGGTAGATTATATTTTTAATTGAAGGTAGTGTATATTGGGAAGATGTATTTGGTATTTTTTTTGGTTTTGAATAGGGGTTTGGGGTATTTAATAAGTGAGGGGGGGGTGGATTGTGGGGGAGTAGGATTGTTTATGGAGGGTATGATGATGTAAGGGAATTAATGATGTGTTATGGGTGGGGATGGTAGTAGAGTTGATTGTTATGTGTGGGTGTATTTTTTTTTTATATAGTTGATTTAGATTAGGTTTTAGGGTTAAAGGGTTGGATATGGAGGTTTTTATTGGTTGGGGGGGATGGGTTGGGAGGTGTGGTTAGTTTAGGGGGGAGTGGAAGGGTAATTTGGGTTTAATTGGGTTGAAGTTTTTATTTGTGTTGGATGGAAGTGAAGGATTTTTGGTGATAGTAATTGGGGTGTGTTTTGTTTGTTGGTGATGATGGGGTGGGAGAAAAGTGTATTATAGGTAGAAGATTAAAGGTATTTGGGGGTGGAAGATTATTATTGAGTGTTGATATAATAGATTATATGTGATTGTTATTTATAGGGTAAGATGTTTGGGGTGGAGGGTGTTGTGGGGTGATGTGGTGTGAGTGAGGGTGTTTTTTATTGAAGTATGGTTTAGAGAATAGAGTTAATAATGTAGGTAGGGTTAAATTAAGTGGTAAATCTAGGGGTTAAATGGGTATTAGTTAAATTTGTGTAGGGGGGTTAAGATTAGGTGAGGGTTAATGGAGTATGTGTATAATAAGTGATTTAAATGTAGTAGTTAATTGGATTAGGTTAAATTAGTATTAAATGTATAGGTTTAATTAGTAGGTTAATTATTTTTTTAGGTTTAATTAGTAGGTTAATTTGAGGTTGAATGTAGTAGGTTAAATTATTGGGGTGGTTGAATTAGTAGGGTGGATTTAGTGAGGGTGTGAATGTATAGGGTGTAAATTATAGGGTTGAATTAGTTGGTGATATTTAGTAGGTGTAAATTAGTTGGTGGATGGAGGTGGATAAATTAGTGGAGGTTAAGGTATAGGTTAATTAGTAGGTTAAAATTAGGTATTGAATTAGTAGGTTGAAGTAGTGAGGGTTTATATTAGTAGTAAATTAGTAGGTTAATTAGTGGAGGGTGTGAATTAGTGAGGGGTTTAATTAGAATGTAATAATTGATTAGGTTATTTGAATGAGATAGATGGTGTAGATTTGATTTATAAGGTATTGGGTGAGATGATAATTTTTAATTTAATTTGATGTTTTGGTTTTAGAGTATTGAGTTATATTGGGTTTTTTTTTGGGGTGGTATTATAGAGTTGGTATTATTAGGTTTGGGTATTATAGTTGTATATTTTGGGGTTTATTATGAGGTTTGTTTTATTTGTTGGGGTATTTTATTGTTGGGTTTTATTTGGTGGGTTTTTTTTTGGTTGGGTATTATATTGTTGGGTTTTTTTTGGGGTTGGTATTAATTTAGTGTTGGGGATGGTTTATAGTTGGGTTTTTTTTGTGGTATTAATGTTTGTTGTTTAGTTTGTTTGGGTTTTATTAGTTGGGATTATTGTAGGTTGGTTGTTGTGGTTGGTTTTTTATTGTGTTTTTTTGGTGGGGTTGTTGGTGTTGTTTTTTTGGTGGGTTTATTTTGGTTGGGTTGTTATTTTGGGTTTTTTTGTTGTTGGGTTTTGTTTGGTTGGTTAGTTGTGGTGGGTTTTTTTGTTAGGGTGGGTTTTTTTTGGTTGGGTATGGTTTTAGGTTGGGTATGGTGGGTGGGGGGTTGTTGTTTGTGTTTGTTTTGTTGGAGTGTTTTTGGTGGGGGTTTGGTGTGGTTGTTTTTGTTGGTTTGGTTGGTTGTTTTGTTGGGTGTTGTTGGGGGGGAGTTTGGTGGTAGGTGTTGGGGTTGTATTTGTGGGGGGTTGGGTTTGGGTGGTTGTATTTGTTGGGTTTGTTTTTGGTGTGTTTGTTGTGAGTTTGGTATTATGTAGGTTTGGGTATTTTTATATGGGTGGTTTTTGTTGGTGGGTTTGGGTGGTTGTGTTTTGTGGGGTGTATGAGTGGTGGTTTTTTTTGTTTGTGTTGGTGGTGTGTGGTGGTTTGGTGGGGGTATGTTTTGGTGGGGAGTTGTTGGGGTGGTGGGGTGGGGGTGTGTTTGGTGTTTATTTTTGGTTTATGGTGGGGGTAAGGTGTGGGTGTTGGAGTTTGGGGGGTTGGGTGTGAGGGGTTGTGGGGTTGGGGGTGTTTTTTGTTTTTTGTTTTTAGGTTGGGTATGTTTATTGTTGTTGGTTTTTGGGGGGTATTTTTTGGTGGGTGTTTTGGGTTGGTGGGTGTGGGATTTTTTTGTTGGTTTGTTTAGTTGGGTTTGGGATTTAGTTGGTTTGTTTTATTGGGGTTTTTGGGTGGTTGGGGTTGTTTTAGGGTGGGGTGTATTAGTTGGGTATGTATGTTGTTTTGTGATGTGGGTGTTTGGTGTTGGTAGTTTTGGAGGGGGGTTTTTTGGTGTGGTTGTGGGTGGGGTTGAGGGTGTTGGTTGTTTGGTTGGGGTGTGGTTTTTAGGGTGGATTTTTGGTTGTTGGGTTTGTTTTTTGGTTGGTTTGGGTGTTTGGGTTGTTTGTGGTTGGGTATGTGGAGTGGTTTGTTTGGGGGGTGTTGGGGGTTTTTTTGGTTGGTTTTTTTGGAGGTGTGGGGTGTTGGGTTGGGGTGGTGTGTGGTGGGTTGTGTGTGGGGGGGTGGTGTTTTGGTGGGGGTGTGGTGGAGGGGGTTTGGTTGGGTGGTTGTGGTGTTGATGTTGTGGGGGGTTATGTATAGTAGTGGGGGGTGGTTTTTGTTGGGTTGGTTATTGGTGGGTTTTTTGTTGGGGTTTTGGTGGGGGTTGTTTTAGGTTGGGTAGTATATAGTTGTATTTTTGTTGGGGTATTGTTGTTTTTGTTGGTAGGTATTTTGTTGGGTATTATTTGTTTGGTATTATTGTTGGTATGGTATAGTTTGGTTATTAATTAGGTGGGTTGTATTTGGTTGGGTATAAGGTAGTGGGGATTAGTTGTATGTTAGTATAGGTATGGGGTTGGTTTGTAGGTTTGGGTTTTTATTAGTGTGGGGTATTATTGTTGGTTTTAGTATGTTGGGGGTTGGGGGTAAAAGGAGTGGGATGGTGTGGTTATGTTGTGGTAGGATTTTTGGGATTGGGTGAGATATGGTGTTTGTGTTTGGGGGGTGGTGGTGGTGTTTTGGTTGTTTTTTGGGTGGGGTTTTGGTGGGGGTGGGGGGGGGTTTGTGGGGATTGTGGTGGTGGGTGTAGAGTTGAGGAGGGTAGTTTAGTTTTTGTTATATTTGTTTGGTTGTTTGTTTGGGTGTGTGAGGTTTGTGGGGGTTTTTGTTGGTGTTGGTTTATTAAGGTTGTGGTTTGTTATGTGATGTTGGGTGGATATGATTTATTGTTGGGTAGAGTTGGAGGTAGTATATTGTGATGAGTTGGAGATGGTTGATGGGTTTTGGAGGTTGATTTTAGTGTTGTGGTTGGTATGGGAAAGAAGTAATGGGGTTGGGTTTATTGAAATGATATGGAAGAATGTGGATTATTTAAAGAAAGGGTTGAGGGATTTTGTTGGGTGGAATTGTTAGTTGTGTAAATAGTTGAGAAGAAGATAGATAAGAGGGGGTGGAAATTGGATTGAAATTGAGAGGGAGATTTAATGGGGAATGTAAGTTTAAAAATTTGGAAGGTGGAAGTTAAAGTGTGGAGAATTTTGGATTATTTTGGAGATGGGGTTTGTATTTTGTTGATTTGGATAGGGATATTGGTAGGGGAGAGTTGTTTTGTTGTGGGGTTGTGTTATTGGTAGGGGATGTTTGGGGGGAATATGGTTTTTTGGATTTGGTGTTATTGGGGATTTTGGGGTTGTGATGGGTGGAATATTGGGGTATATATGTGTTTGTGGTAGTTTTTGGGGTTATTTGGGTTTAGTATTTTTTGGTGTTTTAGGTGATATATTGTGTTATATGGTATTTGTGAGATTATGTGTTTGTATAGTGTTATTGGTGGATTATGTGATTTAGGTGGATTTAGGTGATATTGGTGATATTATGGTGGATTTATGGTGTTTTAGATATTTTATTTTATTAGAAGTATTTGTATGGATAGGGATTGATATTGGTGTTAGGTTTTTTTTTTTTAGTTTGTGTGGGTGTTTAGGAGTGGTTTAATTGTTTAATTTTTATTTTTATTTTATTTTATAGTTATTTGTATTTGGTTTTGTTTAATTTGTTTTTGTTTTTATTAATTTTTATTTATAATTTTTTAAGTTTGATTTTTAATTGTAATTTTTTTAATTTGTTATTTTATTTTTTTTTGTTAATTGTTTAATTTGGGTGTTTTTTTGGTTGTGTTTTAATGTTGTTGTATTGGGGTTTGTTTAAGTTGTATTTTTTGTTGATTGGGTTTTTTGGGTTGTGTGTTTATTGTTTAATTTTTTTGAAGGTTTTAAAGTTTTTGTAATTTGTATTGTGTTATGTGTTGTTTTGTTATTTTTATTTTTGGTTAATTGTTTAAATTGTTTTAGTTGTTTAATTTGATTGTTTGTTTAGGTGGTTGTTGATTTTAATTTGTTAAAGTTTGTTTTTTGTGGGGTTAGTGGGTGGTGTTGGGATGGAGTAGTTGTGTGTTGGTTGGATGGTGTTTGTGTGTTGTGTTTAGATGTGGGGTTGGTGTGGGTGTGGGTTGTGGTTTGAGTGTGTTGGTTGTTGGAGTTTGTGTGGTGTGTTTGTAGGTGGGTTTGGTGTGTGTTGGTGGGTAGTGGGTTGGTTAGTTGTGGGTTGTGGGGGGTTTGATGTGTTTTTGTGTGGTTTTTGGGTGTGTAGTGGTTTTGGTTTGGTTGGGAATGGTTTTGTGTGTTGTTTGTTTTGTGGAAGGGTGGGGTGTGGTGGTGTGAGGTGTTGGGAGGGTTGTTTGGTTGTGTTGGTGTTTGTGGATGGGAGGTTTGTGTGGGTTTGGTTGGAGTTTGTGTGTGTTGGGGGATTGTGGTTGGGTGTTTTTTTGGTTGAGGGGGGTTTGGGTGGTGGTAGAGGTTGTTGTTGTTGATTTTTTTTGTTTATTTGGTGGTTGTGGGGGGTTTTGTGTGTTGGTGTGTTGTTGTGGTTGGTGGGGTTTGGGGTTGGAGTTGGGTTTGTTGTATTGGGTTTGGTTTGGGGTTTGTTTGTTGTGTGTTTGTGGTGTTGTGTAGGGTTTTTTGGGTATTTTGTTATATGATATTTTTTTTGTTTTTTGTGTTTTGTTTTATGTGTTGTGTGTGGGAATTTTATAGGGGTTAGGGGAATTGGTTGGGGGTGGAGGGGTGTTGTTGGTTGTTTTGGGAGGTGTAAGGGGGTTGTTTTGTTGTGTGTTGTTGGGTGGTTTTTTGTGTTTGGGTTGGGTTGGGTGGGTGTGTTGGTGGGTTGTGTTGGGTTAGGGTTTTTGGGGGTTTTTGGTGGTGGTTTGTGGTTGGTTGGGTTGTATTTGTTTTTTGTTGTGGGGGTTTTTGTTGTTGGGGTTGTGTGTGTTGTTTTTTTGGTGTTTTGTTTGAATGTTGGGTTTGTTTTTTTTTGTTGTTTTTTTTGTTGTGTGGTTTTTGGTTGGGTTTTTTTGTGTGTAATATTTTGGTTGGAGGGTTGGGGGGTGTGGGGTTGGAGTTGGGGGGTTGTTTTTGGGTGTGGGTTTGGTGTTTGGTTGTGGTTTTTTGGGTTTGTTTTATTGTTTGGTTTGGTGTTGTGTTTTTGGGGTTATGTTTAGGGGGGTTGTTTGGGTTTTTTGTTTGTTTTGGTTTTGTGGTGTATTTTGGTTTATTGTATGGTTGTTTGGTGTGTTTGTAATGGGGTTTTTGGTGTTTTTTGTATGTGTGTGTTGTTTGTGGTATTGTGTAATGTTTGTATGTTTTTGTGATGTTATGGGTTATGGTGTTTGAGGAGTGGGTTTGTTGGGATATGTTTGGGATTTAGGATGGGGGTGGGGTGTTTGTGTATTTGTTGTTTGAGTATGTTTTGTTTTGTTTTGGTAGTAGGTGTTATTTGGGGGATGGTTTGTGTTGTATGGGTATATGGTTTTTTTTTGTGGTGTATTTATTGGTATTGTTTAAGTTGTATGGTTTTGGTTGTTTTGGTATTTTGTGTAATGTGTTAGGTTTTGTGTGTAATGGTATAGGTTTAATTAGTATGTTTGTAATGGGTAATTTGGGTATTAAATGGTGTAATGTATATGGTTTTTAGGTAATTGGGGTATATTTTATATTAGTATGTGTTTGTATGTAATTGGGTTTTTATGTGGTGAATTTGTATGGTTGGTGTTGTAATTGGTTTATGTTTAATTTATTGTGGTGGTGTGGATGTGATAATGGTTGGAAGGTGGTTGGGATATTTAATTTTGGATATGGGGTTTGGTTTTAGTAGGTGGTGGGGGGGTGGTTTATTGGGAGTGGGTTTTGATATTGAGGGTATGAGGTATGGAGTTTTTGGGTGTTGATTGGTGGTTTAGGTTGATTTTTTATGGGGGGAGGTAAGATAGAGTATGTGTATTGTATAAGAATTGTAGAGAGTTGGGTGGGGATTTGATTGTGGGTTAGAGTAATTATGATTATGGGGTTGTATGGTGTGGTAGTGTGTATAGGTTGTGAAATGGGTAGGTTTGGTTTTGTGTTGGTTATTGTGGTTAGATGTTTATGGGTGGGTGTTGGGGTATTTGGGGTGGGGTGGTTGGGGTGGGTGTGGGGGTTTGTGTTGTGGTGGGTGTTTGGGGGATGGGTGGTTTGTGTTTGGTTTGTGTGGGTTGTTGTTTTGTGGTGGGGGGTTTTTGTTTTGGGGTTTGTTGTGGGGGGGGTGGTGTGGTTTTGTTTGGTGTTGTTGATTTGTTGGTGTTGGTGGGGTTTGTTGGGGGTTGTTGTTTTTGTGTGGGGTGGTGGGTGGGTGGTGGGGGGGGTGTTTTGTTTGTGATGGGTTTGGGGTTGTGGGTGTTGTTTTGTGTGTTTTGTGGTTTTTGGGTTGTTTTTTTGTTGTTGGGTTGGTGGTGGTTTGGGTGGTTGGTGGGGGTTGTGTGTGGGTGGTTATTTGATTATTTTGTGGTTTTTTATGAGGTTGTTGTGGGTGGGTGTTGTTGTGTGGGGTTTGTTTGTGTTGGTGTTTTTTGTTGTGGGGAGGGGTGGGTGTGTGTGGTTAGTGAGTTATGTTTGTTGAGGTGTTTTTGTTGGTGTGGTTGTGTTTTTTGGTAATTGTTGTGGGTGTTTTTTGTTGGTGGTTAATTGATTTGGTTATGTTTATTTTGGGGTTTTTATTTTTGTTGTTTGGTGTTGATTGTGTTATAGGTTTGTTTATGTTATATTGGTGTATGTTTGGAGAAGTATTTGAGTGTTTGTAATGGGTGAGTGATGTAAGTTGTTATGGATAAAAGTTTGGGTTGTGTGTTTTGTGATTTGAGTTATAGGTTAATGTAGATTGATTTGTGTTGTGGTTTTTTTTATGAGATTGGTGTGATGTGAAGGGAGAGGGAGTTTGTGTGTAGAGAGAGTAAGAAGATTAGAGAGAGGAGAGAGTGAGAAGAGAGAATAGTAGATAGAGAGTTAAGTTTTGAAGTAGTGTTAGATTGAAGAGAAGAAGAAGAAGAGAAGAGGAGAGTAGATATGAATGTTTATAAAGGTGAGAAGTAAGAAGAAGTGGTAAGGGTGTAGTGATTTGAGTGAGAGAGTTTTGAGAATGTGAGTGATGGAAAGAAGGGAAGATTAGAGAGTGTGTTGTAGTGTGTGTGTGTTTTGTGTGTTTTTTGGTT